CTACCAAATACTTTTATTGTCTTTATATTTGTTAGGAACTCTAGGATAGTTGAATACTAACAAAAGCAAACATCCGTAGCAGAATATCTTTAACATAGTTCTTGTATTTTACCATTTAGAAAAATTGGGGGCATTGATTTTAAAATATTGTCTTTATCACTTTCAGAGGTTTCCTCCAATTCTTATTTTACTTAAAGCTTGCATAGTAATAAGACTGCAGAGGTTGGTCAGATATTTTTTCAGCATCTAAGATCATAATGTTTGTCTCTTTCAATGTATTAATCTAATGAAATGTTTCCAGATTTCATAATAAGAAATTATCTGGAATAAATCCTGTTTATTCTATTCCTTGTGTATTTTCTGGATACACCGCTCATGTGTCAAAGTTACATGCTACTCTTTAGGTGTATGCTAATATGTTTAAAGAATTTTTGCATCCAAGTAAGACTCAAGCATACTTTTCCTTCTTTCCTTCCTCTTGGGTACTGACTTAACACATTTGAAGCTCCATCTGTGCAAGATTAATAACATGAATTAGGGGACTGTATGTTTCTGTGGTCGAGAATAACGTAAAGAAAATTGAAACTCTGTGTTCTTAAAAGTAAGGTAAAACTCACTTGTGAAATCATCACGCCCTTATTCTTTTTAGGGTATACAGACTTCCATTTACTTATCTACTCTCTCGTTATTTGGTGTATCTATCGAAGTTTTCCTCTTCTTGAATAAATTCTGACAACTTTTGCTTTGCTAGGATATGATTCATTTTTTCTAGGTTTTCAGATTTGTTGCAATGGTATTATATGTAGCATTCTATTATAATTTTTCTAATTTTTTCTGTGTCTTTGGTTATTTGTCCTTTCTCGTCTTATCTATTTCTGATTTTTGTTTTCCTTAATAAGTCTTACTAGAAATTCATCTATTTTCCTGCTATAAGAAAATATTTCTTTATTCTTCTTATTTATTTCCATTTAATGAGTTTCAGCTTTTATATTTTATTATTTTCTTACTCTATTCTTTTATTGCGCTTCATTACTGTTTTCTTTAACAATGAAAACATTTACAGTTACAAATTTTTGTCAGGATATAGCTTTTGCAGTGTTCCCTATAGGTCTTAGTATAACATTTTTAAGAATTTCTGGGTATAATTTTTCAGACAGTTTTCATTTCATTGAACCAAGCATTATCTAAAAATGTGTTAATTAGTGGCGATTAAATTTATTAATCACATTTCAAGTTTCTATTTCTAATTTTACTGTCTCAATAGCAAAGGAAAAATCTCTACTTGAAGTTTTTTGTTTAGGTATTATTCGAGGGTAAGTCAATTTTAAACGTTTCATTGAGTTAAAAACAGCACTTTTCATTTAGTGGACATGAATTTCTTTTACATATCTATTAATCAAGTCTTATTGCAGTATTCAGTTTCTCTGTGTTTTGTTTGCTTATAAGCCACATTGCTTTCAAAGACTTTTCTTCTTACATCTTTTAATTACCTTAGCAAAAATAATTCCGTTTTCTGCTTAGAATTCTTCAAAATTGCCTCATTTCTTTTTCTTCTTTCAAATGTTCTTGACTTTTACCCTGGACTGGCGGAGGGGAGGGGAGGCGATGAGGGTGGTCAAGGAAAATAACTAGAGAATAGCATTTTATCAGTGAAGTGTGTGGATCTTTTTCTGGTTTCTTCACTCAGGAATAGTTATTTTCCTTTAGTTTACATAAAAAATCTCCTTCAAATTTCCTTACTGCCCTCTTCTGATCAATGATATAATATACAGAGTATTCATGTGTAGATACACACACGCCCAGCCATATTGTATATTCTTTGACACAGAGCATTGTGTTTAAAAGGAACTATGTCGTTTTCCTTAGATTAGAACATTAAAAAATATGTTAAAATAATTTAGTAATGATTTTCTCATTTGGTAATCATTTTTCCTCTCTGGTAATAAAAATCCAACCATGTTTTGTAAGATCAAATTCTAAAAACAATTATTATTATACAAATAATAATCTCAAAACAAAACTATCAGATACATTTATATCAAACAAAAATTAGAAACTTCTTGAAAATATTAAAAAGCACTTATGAAATTAGAAGTCTGTCCATCTGCATACTGTGAATGAACTTCTAAAATCAATGTACTGAGATAGCTGCTCAACTTTACTGTGTGATGAGCCCATACTTTTCATGCAAACTTGTCTGAAACTCTCGTTGGTTCCAACTTTTAGTGACCTACAGGGTCACCACAGTTTGGGTACCAGTAACTTATGTTAGATTCTAAGACAGCGTCTATTTAATGGAAGGCAAAGAATTTAAACTGACCATAACGAGGTATGACAACCGTATTTGACTAATCTACAAAGAAGAATATGTCATTGCAATAGTAACGGGACAAGGACCCAATTAATTAGTAGCAAATTCGACAGATTGCTTTGGAAGTTTTCCAAGAGCAAAAGTGTTTCTGGTGCTTTGCTTCAAAGAGCAGGGCAGGCCAAACTTCCTTAACCCCCTTGGGTAGAGAGAAATTTGATTTTTTTTTCATTCTTAAATTTAATATGTCGGCACCTACTCCACAATAGAGACAGAATTACAGGACAGAGAAACTAGGATGTTTATGTTTAAATGATGAGTCTAGTAGCCTGTGATGATCGGCCTGATTTTTGAGGGCGCTTCTTGGGTGCTCCCGCTCCCTGTGAATACTAATGGGAATGTTATAACCGTGCAAACTATAAAATGTCTTCATGTACAGCTCATTCGAGTCTCCCAACCACCCCCAAGATGTCACCTCCTCTGTGTCACAGTGACGAAAGCCCTGGATTGTCTAACAGTGTGCTCTTGCCAGAGCCAGTGCATTACCAAAGGGCAAGTTGCAAGTCAGGCCAGCACAGCAATGGTGTGTACCCTCCATCCCCTCTGTTAACCAGAATAGAAGCAACAGGGAAATCAGCCATGGCAAAAAAAAAAGTAAGCTTTGCCTTCGCTCCTTTATTTCTTGCAATCCCTGGTCTTGTAGTAGGAAAAAAAAAAAAAAAAAAAAAACAAGGGATTTCAGGTTAAAAGATCTCCTGAAGTACTAAGAAGAAAATGCCTTCTCCCCATTAGATGGGATGTTGCTCATGAAGAGAATGGAAATTATCTGCTCATGAGAACCTCCTGCTGAACTCACAATTGTGGAGGGAACCTGACCCTCTTGGTTTTTATCTGAAAATGCCACAAAGTCCTATTTGGTTTGAAAAATTCAGTAATCTGATGCCATATTAAATTTCTATAGCACTTCTGGGTTCTTGCTGAAAAACCTTTCTAGTTCCTTAATTATGTTTTTAAATACCATGTAAATATAGAATACACAATGGAACAACCACCACAACAAAATTGCCCCCAGCCTATTACACTATGTGACTTATTTACCTCTGCTCACACAATAGTGTGTCAAAATCCCAAATTTCACTCAGCGGGGAAGATGGATTGGTTTTGTTTTCTGGTCTCTAGAAGAGGAGTTGAGATGTCAGGAGAAAAGTACTTCTCTCCATCACCAGAGGAAGCTAATCAAGGCAAAATGTCTGCTGGCAGCATATTCATTAATCTTCAGCTGGATCACGGGCCTGTTAGGAGGTGTAACTAATCGTGTCGTTGTGACTCATCTTGGTGTGTAATAACACGCTCCACAGTGACATCAGTGGTTGTATGAGATGGATGTCACATGTAAGGGAAAAAAATACTGTTCTGCTGAAATATCTGCAAGCCTGTGCATGACACGGTGACAATTTGCAGTAAATGCAGCTACTGTGTCTCCACAATAACATTTGCCATATCCTGTCATCACTGTGTTTCTGGAACCTTCTGGAGCCGTCATCGTGGGGCAGTTTCAGACCTGCAGGTTGTTAGATCAGCTTTGTTCTCAAAAATGACCCGTGTCAAGATGCACTGGGGTTGTCTACGCAGGTCTACTTGGGCGCTGAGTCCAGATGCTCAGAAAATTCTTAAAAAGACTCCTAAAGCATCAATTCAGACTCTTCACAAACTTTTGGTCTCTAGAACAGGTTCTTCCAAAATTTTCTCTGCAGAAGGAAAGGTCTACCGTGATTCTCTTGGTACGTGTAAAATGCATGATTCGCCGCATACATTTGGATTTGTGACTCAATTAATCACTAGCAGATAATTGGCCAAGTAGAAGGAATAACCAGACCGGACCAGACAGGAGGCCTCAGGTGGCCCCGGCTTGGGCATGAGCACTGCCACTGCTGGGAAAAGACTGCCTCTGGGCCTTGAAGAGGGGGCTCCACTCTTGAAGGTCTCTTTCTACCTTAAGGTTGTATGGCCTTTTTAAAAAAACTAGCAGTTCCAAAGCTTTTTTTTTTTTTTTTCATGTTTCTTTTCTACTAAATAGGAAATCCTTTAAAGAGACCAGGACTAAGGGTACAATTTTTTTAAAACGTATTTTTAAGTTTTAGGTGTTAAAATCATTGTTGAATGCTTTTGATTTAAACAACGGAGTGTTTTAAATTTAAAAATGTCTTTATATTTTAGAAGCAAATGAACATAAAAGACGAATAACAAGTATTTTAAAAGAGCAGGAGTTAGACGTATGCACCATGTACCTGGTATACAGTAGTTACTGACACTAGAAACAGAATTTACTCAGAATTTCCTGACAGCAAAAGCGAAAGAGGAAATAATGGACTTATATCCATTTTGTAATTCATTTCAAAGGAACCACATTTATTTTTCTAGAGAAGTGAGCATTTCCTGGTAATAAATACTCCTAGCCTCATGCTAATTGAAACATTTTCACAAGGACAATGATATGTACTAGAGAAATAAAATTTGGTGAGACAAAAGCCATTGTGTCAGCAATTTGTGTATCTTTTTTTAAAATTTTTTCGCAATTTGTGTATCTATCAGTTGACTAGCATTTACACGTTGACCTGCGCTGTGCTTTCTAGTCTCTGCAGTAAAGACTATTGCTATATTCATAATCAATGTCTCTAATTTTATTTTTCAGAATGACAAATCCCCAGGGCGATCAGCAAGTCGATCAAGTAATATTTCAAAAGTAGGTAAACTATATTTATTTGTTTATTGATTTTCATATTTTATGAGTTCAAGTAAATATCTTACAATGTTTAACCTCTAATTGTTATCTGTGAGCAGTACACAAATAAGACTTGTTAATGGTTTTAACTATTTTAAGCTTTTGCTGTGATAAAAAGACACGATATCACACAACAAAAGTAGTTATTTTTCCTTGTCAGTACTTTGTGCAAAAGACAATTTGTTACTTTCAGAGTGTTGGGCAAAGTATGGGGTTTTTTTTTTTCCTCTTATTTCAAGGATCATGGAGCTGTCACACACCCAACTTGAAACTGTATCAACATTCATGGTACAATTTCCATGAATTCAGTTTTTCTACAGGTTTGGGCTCATCTATGCTCATATTCACTAGGATGAGTTTTAGAAATAAGACATTAGTTTAGTCTTATTTGTTTTATAGAGTCAATGGATGAAAAAACAAAATACTTCCTGGACTATCTATAAATCTAAGCAAAACACCAGAGTATTGAAAATCTAGGGAAACTCTAGATTTTTTTTTTCCTAGAAAACAAAAAATTAAGGGCTATTCTCTAAAATGAGATACAATGCAACGTACAGACTTTGTGTTTGGGGAGTGAGAAGTCATTTAGAGCCATTTATCAAACTGGAAAATTATGATTTCCAAAAACGTAATTCAGACAGAGATGGATTTACCGTGAATAGGACTTGCCCTACAGGGCCACCCACTTGCCAGCACCCCCCACAGCCATGAGCTTAATTTTGTGTATGTGAATTTTATATTATTTTATTTCAAGAGAGCCAGCCCCCCAAATAGTTGTCAAGTCTAGGCACCATGGTACCCAAATCCACTTCCAATTTAGGGAAGTGTTTTGTTTTCAGAAAAAAAGAACTTCATTACTCATTGAAAAATAGCCGTGGCCAAAGGGTCAGCATTTTCTGCAGCTCGTTTCCCGAGGCCAGTTCTTAGGAGCCAATGCCAAGATGGTCAGGTGACTCCTGCAGACACACTCGGCTGCTCACAGGGGTGCAACCCTACGCTTCGGGAACTCTCGCATGTTCAGTAACAGCACGTATGTGTGTCTGTTGCCCTGCGAGACCACAGCTGTGTTATGATGCTGTGCACCATACAAGCATCCTTAGAAGGATAGTCCAGAACAACAGGCAACAGTCCAGGCAACGATGCTGGGGACAAGACGTGGGACTGAACATCTATAGCTCCATCCAGATCTGAGGACCTTCCCAGACGTCTGAGAGCCAGTGTGGGCTGCTACTAATTCTGAAAAAAAAAAAGAGGATCTGGGTGTCTGTTGCTGCGCTGTCACTTCTTTCTTACATGTGTGTGACCATGAAACATTCCCTTAGCCTCCCTGAGACACGGCGGTCTCCTCTGTGACTTGAGGGTGACCGTGTTAGTCCCCTGAAGGCTCCCATAAGCAGCCGTCGGTTAAAATAGTACCTTTCAAATGTCTGTCCTCTTGGTCACCTCGTGAAGAGCCTTGGCTGCAGCTGCACAACACCAGCATCTCTCTGAACTGGAATGGTCACGGTGACCTGGAACCTTGTCAGCATACTGGCCAATCCTTTGTCCTGCCAGACATCATCTCATGATCCAGAGGTACGGTCATCGTGCATTTCCGAGCTGCTGTTTGCATCTGACATAATGCAGCTTGTTTATAACTTTGAACCTTTTAACGTTTTCTTTGAGAAATAAAAAAAAGTCAGGAGTGTAGTTTCCCTTCTGTGAATTCGTCCCGGCTCTAATATGTATTAATTGCATCGCTGTGTGGGAGACAATTAATGACAAAAATGCATTATATTGAGGGAAATGAAAAGCTCTCTTCATAAATAGTCTAATTGCACCAGAGCAAAAACTCAACTATCAGACACCCGTAGAGATAAAAAGATTGCTCTGTGCTTGTTTATTTTTTTAAGCCAATATAACTTTCCTTTTTATCCGTGTTCAGAATGACAGTCACAAATTCTAAATACATTGTTGAGTCCTCACTATTTTTTTACGAATTATTAAGTGATAAACTTTGCATTATGGCCATACAACTTACCAAGTGTGAAATGGCAAAAACCAGCAATACTTGAGTCCTGTAACTTTTAAAGTGGTGGAGAAAAAAAAAATATTAAAGCAGAGCAAGGATGTTTTTCCTCTCATTTTATCAAAATAATTTTTATGTCAAAAAAAAAAAAAGACTGAGCTTTTCAAGGGGGTGATAATCAACAGAGTAATTAAGAGCATGGATTCCAAAGGAACTGCTTAGGAGGGTTATTTAACTTCCTTAATATTTTAGCTGTAAAAGAAGAATATATAATAGCATCTAGCTCTTGGAGTGGTGCTTAGAACACTGCCTGGCTCTGTGCAAGTATTAGCCATACTTATTATGGGACTCTTAATTATTTCTATCTCAGTCAACGGCGCCAAATAGGTTCTCTGTAAATCTTTTTTGTAAACAAGTGAATTTGAGACATGAGTTACAATATATGCATTGTGTTTTGAGTGTGGTAAGAATAAATAATAGACTGGACAGGATTGAGTAAGATGTTAGAACGTAGTAAAATAGGGGCGCCTGGGGGATCAGTGGTTGAGCCTTTGGTTCAGGTCATGATCCCGGGGGCCTGGGATCGAGTCCCACGTCGGGCTCCCTGCATGGAGCCTGCTTCTCCCTCTGCCTGTGTCTCTGCCTCTTTGTGTCTCTCATGAATAAATACATAGATAAAATCTTTAACAGAAAAAAAAACATAGTAAAATAGTGTTCTGACATAATTTTATTGAAAAAATACTGTACATTTCCATTTCCAAAAAAAGGGTGTGTAGTGGCACCTGAGTGGCTCATTCCATTAAGCATCTGTCATGATCCTGGGGTCCCAGGATTGGACCCCACATGGGGCTCCCCCTTTAGTGGGAGTCTGCTCTTCCCTCTGACTCTCCCTCCTCTTGCTCTCTCTCTCACTCTCTCTCTCAAATAAATAAAATCTTTTTTTAAAAAAAAGTGTGTACATGCATATACATATATATATTTAACAATAATATATTATCTTAGGTCAGGAGGAATATTACTCATAGTGGGCATCTTTCTTAATTTTTAACAAGTTTGTGTCATCCCCAATCCTTTGATACAGGAAAGTCCCAGATACTACAGAGGATTCCATCCCCGGTGGGCTAGCAGAACTGTCCACCACACTACTGAGTCTGCTTTCCTTCCTGTTTCTTGCAGTTCTCTACTGAACCAGCAGACCTTTCTAATCATCAATATTTGTGAAATGCCTCCCATTAGTACTCCCATATTCTGTACTGGAAATGAGGACTCCCAGGTACTCAGTGAGCCTACAGTGATGGAGTTGAGATCCCACTGATATATGAATACAAACATATAAATTAATAAAGTAGAACTGATAACTCCCTGTGCAAAAATAGTTAACAGAGCAAGCCTGAGACTCTTACCTGAGAAAGGCCTGCTGGTCAGGTTGGCCCCTGGCTGGCATCTGGGAACTTGGGATTTCAGAAATGACTATATAATCCTAAATTATGAGAATAGTTCACTGTGCCTGAACTATGAAGAAAAAAAAATCTGGTTTATCCAAAATACTTGCCTTCCTTATGGAAGTCTGGAAATTGGGCATATGCTAAGCAATGGGTTACCCACATGATGAGCTTCCAGTGAAGACTTTGGGCACCGAGTTTCTAATGAATTCCCCTGGTAGCTAGACAGTACTTCACATCTGTTGTCACAAGTTAGTGCTGCAGGATTTAAATGTATCCTGTGTGATTCCACTGGGAGTAAATTTGGAATTTTCTCCTGATTTCCTCTGGACCTCACCCCATGTGCCTTTTCTTTTTTTCCCTGATTTTGCTTTGTATTATGACCGTGGTTATGACCATAAGCCCAGTCCTGTAGCTTCCTAGGAAATCACTGAAACTGAGTGTGGTCATGGGAACCCCTTCTACATTGGCTGAAAAGGTAAAGATGGAAGGGAGTTGAGAGAATGGTCACTTCTATTCGGTGAGGAGAGGATAGCATCAGAGATGATTGCTTAGAAGAATGGCATATACACAGGGCCTCAAAGAATGGGTGTGACTTGATCAACTGCCAAGAAAGTGTGCTTAAAGGGATATAAATTTAAGACATGGAAGCTGAAAAGGCTGGATTATGAGGAGAAACATACATTAATCACTTTAGAGACTTTGTAGATGGAACTTTGAATAATATGATCCATTCTCTTCAGTCACAATATACAAGTGTCAGCTGTCTTAATAACATAGGGATGGATTTGGAACCCATCAAAATCCTCGAGACTTCTTTTTAGTAAATATATATGAAACTTAATGTTATTATTCTTGCTACTCAGGATTATTGTAGACATGATGTCACAGTTATGATTATGAAATATCCAAGCGTGGGATAAATATCAAATGTTGAATTGTTAACGGACATTAAACATTTTTTCCTAGTCTTTTACCTCTGAATTTTTTTCACCCCATGTTATTGAATTGCAATTCTACTCCGAGTCTTATACTTTGAGTTTTCTGGCCATTCCAGCTTTTAATATTTTCTTAGTTTGTATTTCTAGTTTGTTTTAGGACATATAAGACAGACCTGTGACTCTTGCTTTTTTCTTACTCGAATAGGATTTGTGTGCATTGGATATGTTAAAGTTGATGCAAAAGCTACAGAGAAACTACATAGGTTTAAAATAATGTATGTGAGATTTTCAAAATATCTTCAGTGTGAACACAGCAGCATTCATTTATCCACACTTACTTTTTTTTGTTTGTTTTTTGAAAAGCTGCTTTTGATATTAATGCTGGTTACTGCTTTTTAACACACATATGGCTCCCAATAGGTTCCTCAAGATGTAAATTAGCCAAATTTGGCCTTTCTTTTATATCTTCTAGGGTGAGGAATCATTATATTCAACTAGCAACAGCGTATTATGTATTTCACAGGGAAAATTTTTCAAAAGCAAACTGTCAAAAGGAAAGAAAGCCTCGTA